CCGGTCTTTAAATCGAAAGCGGGGAAAAACCATTGTGATATTCGGAATCAGCACGTTCGATTACCCATTGTCAACTGAGTTTCAGCTCAAAAGCGAGGAGGCAGTTGGTGGCCTTCCCTCGTTAGCCGTTATAGACTATTCTTTTGTAAACAATTTACACTGTTATTATCCAGCTCATTTTTTTTGTCGAGTGTGAGAGTTGTATTTATATCGTTGTTATCTCATCCACGTCCGCTATTGAAATAAAATTTCTTGTATTTGCGTTTATTCACAATACAGTTTGTCTTCGTTCTATATTAATCCCTTTTCTTTTTCATTTGAAGATTAATTTGAACATCAAAAAATGCCAAGTACCAAACGAAAACCAAAAAGACGTAACAAGATGTGGGGATCACGACAATTATCAACATCGGGTAAATCGTTTTTTTTCTTATTAATAGTTAGTTTTTTGAAATAGCTATTTTTTATTTTATTCAGATAGTCCAGAATCGATATTTGTTGGTTTATGTGAAATTGTTGAAGAAAAAGTACATCCGGTCTTGGTAACTCTTCAAGAAGGCGGTGGTCGTCGAAAATGTATTCTTAACTCGTTAGATGTTCAATGGGATACTCTTAAAGATAAATTAATGAATTTATATCATACAAGTATGCTGTGAAAACTTACAGTATGTCTACTTTAAGCTTTCGTTTAATGATTTTTTTCTTCTATAGATAGAAAATATCAGTTAACAAGTTATTTATCCTATAGTTTATACGATTATAAACTTCAACCATTAGAAATAAAACGTTATAAAAGTTTAATTGATTATATGATTGATACAAGAGTAACATTACAAAGCACAGTTATCTATTTATGTCGTTCAAGTATGAAAATAACTTTCTGAAGATAAATCTTTGTTATTTTTTGTATGAATTAGATCCTGTTGTCGTCGATGATTATAATACAACTGTCAAAACTGAACCGATTGAAATACGCAATCAACAGTAAGCGTTATTTTCTAAGTCATTTCCTAATCATTTTTGTTCACCAAAAGATTTTCTAATAAGTGGTCAGTTTACCTATTCATCGACGACACATTATTCGATGTGCTTTTGTTGAGAAGTGGACATATATTTCTTTCATTCAGTTCGTTCTCATTGCTAGTGTTCAACTGATATTCTGTTGTATTATTGCTTAGGCCACTTTGTCATGTATCAGTTAAATATCGACGTTCTTCATCACCCACTGGATCAGTGGTCAATGAGATTCTTGAAAAATTTAGTGAACCTCTTGATATCGGAACAATTACATCTTGCAATCTACCTTCGTCGTAAGTGAATATAACATCTTGTTTGTTGAACTCACTGTTTTTATTATATATTTATCATTTGGAAATCGTGATGAATGGCATAAAATTATTCTTCCCTACATGTGGAATTTTAAACGAAAGAATAGAATTGAAACTTTTCTTGTCTTTTTCAGATTGTCATTATCACAACTGAAAGAAAATGTGCTATCTGTTAATCTTTCACCACTGACTGGTATAATTAAAAACGATTATGTCCAAGAAACTGATCCTGTGTCGTACTCATCAACAAATGATTATTTTACACAATTGGTGTCTGAAAGTAATCATCGTTTGACAACAACGATGATGTCGTCAACATTATTATCAAATCCGTGGTCAATGTGAGTTCAAGAAATAATCGAATGATATACAAAATCTAGATCATTTTTTTGATTTAGGTCAACAGAATCATCGATAAAACGAGAATCCCTTATGGATGTACAAGACATGGTTAATAAATATTGTAGTCCATCATCTTTAACGTGAGTGAGAAGACGAAATATGATCTATTGTCTTAAATACAATACAATTTTCAATTTTAGAATCCCATTGATTCAAGGTGTACAAACAAAAACAGAATACATTCCAACACAAACTTTTCCACGGGAAATATCGATGGATGTAGAGAATAAACGACAAATTTTAATTGAAATATTAGATTAGAACTGTTTACTTATCTTTCTCTTAGTTTTTTTTTTGTTGTATATTGTGTATGCTCTCTATTCTTTATGAAACTTTAAGTTATTTAAGTTTGTAAATAGGTACTTGTACGTAAATCATGAGTTGTGCGTTGCTGTAATTTTAATTTTGTATTAAAGTGTTTCGTATGACTGTTTTTTGTCAGATACACTGTTTTTGTTTTATATTAGTGTTATTCTTAATTACTATGTTTTTGTAGGAGTTAAATTAAAGAGACCTTTTATCAGATGAAAGACATGTAAATTTAGCTTACATTTAAGTTATGATGAAGTTTTGTTGCCTTCCATATTTCTTGTAATGTATTCGTTGATACAACAACGTTTATAACAATATTTATTTAGTACGTTCAAATCAGTTTATTTCGGAACATTGACTAAGCACGTCACTACAACGTTTTTAGAAAAAAAAAGAACGTCACAATTTTACATATTATTCTATTCCGTCCTTTGAAACTTTGAAAGTCTCAAAAAACGGATGTCTTAAAGTTTTGAACAGTACACAAAAATTAAAAAATCGCACAAAAAAGATATCCATTCACTTTTCGAAAGAATGTGCATAATGATTTCTCCCTTTTGCGTTATTCAACAATTCAATCCAGTAGGCACGAAGTTCTTCTGGTGAATTGTAATTATTTCTTCCTGTTAATCGATGTTTTTGTTTTGCTCGATACATGGATTCACGTGCTGACCGAATATCTCTGAGTAATAAATTATCATGTTCATCTTCTAATGGTGTTTGATTATTGTTGATAAATAAAGAACCACCATCATTCGATGAATAAATCATTCGACATAATATCGGATTAATTAATAGAAGCGTAAAAATACATATGAATATTGGGACTAAGCGTGTATGCGAATGTTCCATCATTAACTACCTAAAAAGAAAGTTACGCTATTAAATAATTCTACTTTAACAACCTTTAACGAAGGATTCGCTTGATACTTTTGCTCTAATATCAATGGCAATCAACGAAAAATCTGTGCCTATGATTTTCTCTCTATTTTGGCAAAATCTGAGAAGAATTGTAGAATAACGTGACTAATAAATGTTACAAACTAACCACACATGTCTTCTATCTTCTATTAGATAACTATTGAAACTTATTTCTAAATCTAAAAATTTTAGTTTGTATCATAAGTATACAGTCTGTTTTAAGTTTCCTGCATGTTCCATGAGAATTTATTTGACCAACCTTAAAAAAGTATAGAAATAAGTCCTCTTTTTTCTTGCAGAAAAATAGAACTTTTTTTGTAAAAAAAGAAAGAGTGCCGACGCATATATTGATTAATATTTGTGCTGATCTAATTGTTAGAATGAAAAGTTGCTCAACGTTAAGAGGGTTAGGGTGAGAGATTATTGAAAAAGTTTCTTTCGAAAATTCTCATACATTCAAATATGCTTTTTCTTCTGGACTCACTGAACTCCTATAAATGTATGTTTGAGCATGATGTCGTGATAATCGCATTGTACTTTCGAAAATGATACCATAAAAAGCTACTACATACTATGATTCCACACAAGATATATGACGAGTAATTTTACCATATCATTTTTATCCACAGGTGTCTCGGCTCAGAAAATCTTTCTATATATAGAGTGCAAAATGAATAAGTAATAACACGGAATTGTTCACTATCAGAAGTATCATAAATGCTATGTACAAACTATTCTAATTTTCTCATTTTTATGCGTAAATATGTCCTATGTGCAACTAGATGATACCGGGATAGAAGAATTAGTTTGTTACACGAGGATAACTTTTTCTAATAAGTTTAATGAGTAGATTAACAATCGTCTAGGCCAGAATACTAGCCAGAATACGTTTTCATTGCTGAGCTGTTTATTCGAACAAGAAACATTGGAACTTACGTGATTATAAGTGGTTCTATAGAAAATAATTGATATTTTATGCCACACGTGAAGCAATGAGGAAGTTTAAAGTAAGAAAGAATTAATTATACAATAGTCACTATTCGCTATAAGTTTATTGCTTTGTCGTATATTTATATATACATTCACATTTCGTTTTGCCCCTCTCTTTTAATAACAGAACAATGAACTATTGTCAGATGACTGACTAAAAACCCGATAAATATCATGCACATTTATAATTTCATAAGAGAAGAAAAAGAGCAATCAGAAGGAGTATCAACTAGGTTTCACTCCTTTGTATTCATTTTTTTTGCTTAAACATCTTACTAAGCACGCACATCTAACACTTTTCCTATAAAAACTGTATCTATCTTTTAATAACTCTAGAGCTTGCAACAAATAGATAGAGAGAATTGATCGAAATAAGAGGGTGTTACTATGTATATTCTGTTAATAATCTAAATAAAACATTTGACTTTTTTAACATATAGGGTGTCCGTAAAGTCCTTAGAGTTAGAAAATGTTCAATGTTTTCGTCATTCTTTACCCAAATGAACTGATTTTTTTCTGAGTATAGTAAGCGGATAGAAGTGTCTATTCATCACAAAACCGG